TTTTTTCATACATTCAACCTTTATTTAAACAGATGAATCACATTGAGCCTCGAAGACTCCTTTACATGTGAGACTTGTTTGGACAGATTAAGTGGTGAAAGTGACAACACAGGCAATAAATAAATAAATCCTAATATATCTTAATCTTTGGCTGATTAAAAGCATGAAAATGAAAAAAAAAACTTGCAGAAAAGCATTTGAGTCTGGGTGCTCGAGGAACGAACCAAGCCATCACATAAGGCAGGCAGTCTAACCAGGGCCAAATTTGCTGCCGACAACTTCCTTGTTTGTTGATAGACCAGGAACCAGTCAAATCCAAAAAAGGAGGAAACCAGTTATCAAAAATCCAATTATATATGCGTCCTTAACATCCACGATTGACAGCAGAGATAGACGCATCATCAATTCTTACAAGTCAATCAGATATCCAGTTGCGTGTGTGCCTACAGGGTGTGTCGGCTCGCGTAAAGCCCGTCTTCTCTTCGAAGAAATGTTTTTGTGTTGAGGGACCAACTGACCAAATCCATAGCAGAATTACGATTCGGAAGATTCGTAGAAGAGAGGCTCTAAGCAGTTTCACAGACAGGACAGAGCAAAGCAAAGCGGAGAAGGAGAGGAAGGGAAAGGCGTCCGCCCTTGACAAGAGCAAGTGTTGAGGTGTATTTGTATGAACAGCCGGACCTGTAAAGAACCGCTGGCTGACAACGTATACAAGACCACTTTTACTGCTAAACACAACAAGAGTGTTCCATCTGAGAAGCAACTCAAACCTCCGAAAGTTGAATCTTTGCATTTTTACTTCTCTCTAATGTGCAACATATCGGAGCTACAATGAATATGGAGCTACGCCGGGGTAAAAATGAGCAGATATACACTTAAACATGACAAAAGAAGAATAAAAGTGTGCAGCGTTCACCCAAGTGTCCACCCAGTGAGAGAGCCCAGTGATCCCCTGACAGGTGTCCGGATCTGAGCGTCACAGAGGGGAATATGATGCTGCTTTACAGTGCAGGCACTCAGCCAGGCCAATAAAACGTGAACCGCTTTCATTGTCTTTATAAACCTGAGGTTAGGGTTCAACTGAGAGCATCGGAGAACAACTCGGGTGAAGAAAATATCCACAGAAGAAGCTAAGCATCGGATGGAGGCAGCAGGCTCACACGGTTTAATACTTTATTAATTCAAAGTCCGAGTATTCCTTGAAAAAATGTATTTCGCCCACTGCCTTTCATGCCAGAGTTTGAGACTATATTTCATGAGAAATGACAGAGTTGTAGTTGTTTTGGTCAAATCTTGAAAACGCTACGCACGAAATCATAGAATACCTTCAAGATGTTTGGCTGTGAATCAGAATCTTTATCGCCATCGTTAAAAATAACATCAATAGTTTCTACCACATCATGTTCGGCTCAATATCTGTAAAACTGGTTGAGTTAAAGCCATTTGTTCATTTAAACACTGTGCTTTGTACAGTGAATGTTTGCATAAACCTAAATGTTTTTGGTGCAAGATGTTCAAGTGGATAGGAGTTACAGTGTGGAGAAGAACAGAGCTAGTTCTTTTTTTGTTGTTGCAGTGACAGATCCTGACAAGTGGACAGGAACAATTCTACCCTCGACCAGGCTCAATGGCAGAGCCAGGGGGTGGCCAATGATGGCTTTGGCCCCCATAGATTAATCTTCAGCCACCCCAAGGACCACCCCCCAATCAACCGAGGAATTGATACTTTTAAGCAATATAAAAACTAGCAATCTGGGCATGTGCCCAGGGGCCCTTGGCACAGAGGGGCCCTCTGCCGGCAGATTTTTTTTTCCGCAACAAACACCGGGGCATTCTGACTCTTCTCATCCGTGCAATACAGCAATGTGAGAGAGGATGGTGAAGCCGCTCACAACGGTCGCGATGGGGCAGAGTGAATTTCCGGTTTTCAAAATAAAACTCAAAACCCAATAAAATTCACATATCTCACCTTATTCCTGGTGCTTTTACTGTAGAAACATTTCTCCAAGAAACTTCTGGTCCGGCACCGGAAGTATGAGTAATAGAACGGACCGCAGGTTTTTTGGAAGTTATTTGCATTCAGCTGATCAAAGCAAACGTTGTTTTAGTTTAAACGAGGAGTTTGCTAAAAATGTCCTACTGGGGTTCAGGTCCTGCTGTTCACGGCTGCACCAACAAGCAGACCAAGCTAAGGCTACGGCAGAAGAGTTTGAACACGGACACAAAACAACAACAAAAAGATTGTTCCTGTGAAGCAGTAAGGTTTCCATCTCCTACCTACAGATGAGGAATTAAGAAGAACGAGGCTGAAAAATCTGAATTTGAAGAAACCGTCCAAATCGCAGCAAGTGTGCTCATTTCAATTTGTAATCAAACAGCCAACAGACAGTTTCATAAACTTCCTATCCTGCAAACAAAACAGAAAAAAGACCTTGAAGGAGAACTAAGGTAAGAGCCATTGTGCTTCCTGTGAAGTGAGTAGGTCAATATAAACTAAGATTGTGCAGATAATACAGTGCAGGTCATAAAATTAGAATATCATGAAAAAGTTGATTTATTTCAGTAATTCTGTTCACAAAGTGAAACTTGTATATTATATTCATTCATTACACACAGACTGATATATTTCAAATGTTTATTTATTTTAATGTGGATGATTATAACAGACAACTAATGAAAACCACAAATTCAGTATCAGAAAATTAGAATATTACTTAAGACCTTAAAAAAAAAATTATTTTTAGAAATGCTGTCCAACTGAAAAGTATAAACATGTACAACACTCAATACTTAGTTGGGGCTCCTTTTGCCTGGATTACTACAGGAAATATTAAAAATAAATAAATATATATATATATAAATATATATACAGTGACAGCTGGTATCAATGGGCTAGGAGGGCTAAGACCTCCCTCCTGGCATTTACAATAAAGATGTTAAAATAAACAACTTAAAAATAAATACATTTTAGAAACAATGTCACATTTTGTTAATTTTACAACAAAACTGGTGTCAAACCGCACGGGGAAATTCCCCGGGTCGTCCCAAAGGGCTAAATTCTGACAGCCTTCGTGGTTCAGAATGATTGACAGATGTCTGGCCACGCCCCCTCGGTTTGCGGCTCATTGGGGCTAATTCTGTTCAGCCCAGGGTCCGCCCACAGCCACAGGATTCATCCAATGAGGATGGACGTACAATAACGTGCCTCAGTGAGAGTGGATGTGGGCGTGGCTTGGTGTAGACGGCTGTGTAACGTGCTGAACTTGGCCGGATATTAATTCAGCTCGGTCCAAATAATGTCAACCTGTCAGTTCGTTTTTTATTTTTCTTATAGTTCACTCTGGGTTGTGTTTAATGATGACCAGAAGACGAGCGTTGAACTGAATGCAGTTTAATCTGCATTAAAACAAAACGTGCACTGGTCAGAATCATCGCAGCGTCTTCTCACTGAACGCAGCCGCTGCTGTAAAATACACCTGTAACAAACGCCTGTTTAAACCGAGCTTACACACGCACAAGAGTTTTTTAAATTATTTTTCAAAGGTTAGAAAAATGAGTCTGTTAAAGATCAATTTGTAAACAACAGTAAAATAAAACTCGCTCGGACACGTCAGCTCAGAAGTGCAGGAGGGTGGAGCACGCTGCATTTAATAAACAAAGATCAGCTGTTCCGACCGAAGCTTCATAATAATCTGCCACTCACGCACGCCTTCATGAAAATTAACACCAAACAAAACGGAATAATCTCACTGATTAGACCTCACGTAGGAAAATAAAGAGTCCCTGAAATAAATCAATTTCACCTATTTCATAAGAGGAAGAGAGAGCTCTCAAAACAAATAATAATAATAATAATTAAAATAAATAAATAAATGTCCAATGAAAAGTCCGCAGTTATATGCTCAAAATTATCAAGATATATATATATAAAAAAAATAAATCATTGGGGCCCATTCACCAGTCTTGGTCTTTTTAAAACAAACAAACAAAAAAGAAAGATAAGGAAACGCATCAAAAAGTGTTAAAGCCTTTAACTGACAGAGGCTCCATGTAAAAACTTACTCTGGTTTTTCTGTGGTTGTTTGTTTTACGGTCGTCTTTGAGGTGAAAAATGGCAATGTCAATTTATAGCAGGTTGTTTTTTTCAAATTGGATGCTTCTGTTGTTGGAATTCATTCTGTAGAGCAGATATATATATATATATATATATATATATATATATATATATATATATA